TTATGGATGATTATTTTAGTACTTTCATCATGATTTTCACTTTTGGTTCATCACTTATTAATAGGTGCATTTTTGCACAAACTAGCGCATGCAGTTTTCCTTTCAATATATATGTATTAATATATGGATTTGCATTTTATGAATATGTGTGTATCTATTATGTGCATATATACATCAACATGGTCTCTAGACAAAGTGATCATTGGTTATGTTGATTATTGCCCAAGATGCTCATAACATTCAGCATATATTTCATGTCATGTATGCTGTGTTTAAATTTGGTCTTTAAATTTATGTAACTTTGATTTTGTGCATCTTTTCTGTACGTATGACAAGAAATCTTTGTATATAAGTTTGTTAACCACTTCCTCCAAAACTTGCACATGTTGCCTAATGCATGTTATATCACTTGCCCCTACCGTTAGAGGTGGACAAAAAACTACCACCGCTTTCAGAGGTAGGCTCCTTTTTCAGTGAAGGAGTTTCGGGATTGATATTTTTAATAAAATACTTTGGCCTACCAAATTATAATGGAGATCTAATTGTTAATTTCAAGTTTATGACATGAACTACATTACTGATTTCGAGGTCTAAGTTTGTGTGTGTAAATTCAGTTTATGATTGCTTATGTTAGAGATAGTTTAGTGAATTTTCAGACAGGTGTTATATTGCAGTTTTGCATACACGGCATTGCAGTTTTGCAAACACTGCATTGCATTTTTCATTTAATTACATTGACTAAATTGTTTTATCATTTCAACATTAATAATTATATATGATATTATGAAATATAGTTTGTTTTTCAATAATTACTTTACAACTTATTCTTTTTAAAGTACAATATAAGCAGTTTTTTTTTTATAAAAGCGACAGCAATCCCAAATTGGGCATTAAATCTATAAAAAAAATGTACATCATTATGGTATATTTTAAATATGGAATTGTTCACTCAATCCAATTTAAACAAAAAGAACATCTTCTCTTTGCTCTTCCATTCTCGTGTGATTTTCTTTGTAAAGAAAAAAGAAAAAGCGATGAAATCATCTCCCCAGTAATGGACAAAACAAAAGGAGAGAAAGGAGAGGTGAGAAAACATGTCAGATGAGCCTTTCGCAACGAACATCAGCTGACACCACAAAGGAAGCAAAAGTCCGTCCTTCATACCTGGAAGTGACAAATCAAAGCCCACTCCCTAAGTTGTGGGTGTGGGCTACCATATTTATATGTCTCTGGAGGAGCCAAGACCCAAACGGAGGAGCCATGCCTAGGGTTTTCCATTCACATGAAATATAAAGTAGCTACTTTCTTATTTTTGGGACAAATATAAGTGTTACAAACTTCAAATGTACAAATATATGCCCTATTTTCTGCTACAACAAAATCAGAGCACAACAGAAACTCAAAATTGAAACATTTGATTCTTCATGGCCTCGGAGTGTCACATGGGCCAATGCCAGAATCTTCCAACCCACTATTGGCATTGTAACATAGCCCAGAATTGTTATGAACCCTAAGCTTCCTTCTCATCCTCCAAACCATTTCTCTCCCAAATGGGATTGGGCCCCTGAGCCAATTATCATTCAATCTCAATTCACTCACACTTTTGAGCTCTCTAAAGCTTATTGGGATTGAGCCATTGAAATTGTTCCCATCAAGATGAAGCACACGAAGGCCTGGCAATTTGCCTAGCGATGAAGGTATAGGACCATGCAAATTCATGCTTGATAAAATTAGGGTCATCAACCCCTTCATGTTATCAAAACCATCACTTGGAATTGGTGTGGGCCCCATTGGATTTCCTTTGAGGATCAAAGTTTGAAGTGAGATTAAGCTCCTAATCCACATTGGAAGTGGACCCTTGAGGCGATTGTAGCTTAGATCCATGAGCATTAGGTTTTTCAAGGTACCGATGGAGTCGGGTAACAGGCCGGTGAGTTGGTTGTGGCCCAAATCCATTTTGATAAGAGCATGGCAGGCTCCAATGCTGGATGGGATTGAGCCCATTAGAAGGTTTTGGCTCAGGTCAAAAATGCTCAAAATTGGGAAGCTGAAATTGGGTATTGAAGTTAGTTTGTTCCCACTCAAGTCTAACGACCTTAGACCGGTCATCCGGCCCAGGGACACCGGAATTGAGCCGTTGAGATTGTTTTTGTGGAGGTCAAGAACTTTCAAATGGGTGAGATTGCCCAGCTCAATAGGAATAGGACCCACATGCCCATTTTCCCTAAGCACTAAAGTTTGTAGGGTGGCGCCCAATTGCCCCAAAAGTGATGGGATTGGCTGAGGATTGTAACTAAAACAACGGTAGAAAAATAAGGTCCGGAGGTAGGGAAGTTTAGTGATGGATGGTGAAATATGGGACCGGGTTGGGTGACAAGTCGGGAACGCGGTGTCATCGGATAGCGCCCCAAAGGAGAGCGAAACGATGTGGTAGACATCATCTCTGTCCGGCATGCACTCAATTCCATGCCACCGGCCACGACACACATCGGGAATGTCAATGGCCCAATCATTACCTGTAGCTCGCATGATGTCATAGACCGCTTCTTGCTCATGAGTGTCAGTTCGGGCCCCATCTTTGTTCATGGAGAACCCGGTTTGTGGCCCGTCCACGAGGGCGGATGGCACGCCAGAATCTGACATGATGACCGTGAAAGGCAGGACCCCTAGTGGCCTAAAACACATGAAAGATAGAAACAAGAGTAGAGGTGAGAAAATGAGTGCCATTGTGAGAAAAGAAAGACTAAGGACTAGTTTCGGGAGTGGATGAGTGTGAGAGGCATTGGATTTGATTGAGAGGTGTCTATATAAGGTTGAGTTGGAGTTAATGTTATATGGGTTGGGTTGGTGAATGAAGTAAATTATATTTATGGGTTCACGGGAAAAGGGAGCAAGTGTGACGAGCGGAAATAAATACATGGAATAATTTCGTTCAGCATTAATGTACTTCACGGGGTTTATACCAAAGTTTTTCGAGCTGGGGCCATCGAATCACTGGCTCAACCATGGTAACTTAAATTCATCAAATTGTTGTTGACATGCATCACTTCGTAACCACATGTTCTTGTAGCTCAGAATTCATATCCAAGAAATATACAAGGCATTGGCTTCTTTACACGATCAAAAACTGACTCACTAGATCCCAATCAGCTCCTATTTCTTCTCCTCCAAAGATTTCCAGCTCTTTTTTCTTCTTTCTTCTTCTTTTCAGAAATTTGGGAAGATTCAAAATGCTGCAAAAGATGCATTTGCAAGACTGAAAGACTTACCTGTGAGAAATATATGTGGATCCAGAGCTGAGGGTTGAGCTTCTTGAAGACTAGGGACGCCATTGCAGGCACTGCTTTTGTCTTATAATGGATAGTTTGCACTTTGTGCTATGAGATTTGTAATTTTTTTCCTCCTTCTGTTTCTTTAGAACTTCTTTGAGCTTGGAGCCATATTCAACCTAAGGATTTATTTAGCGGACATATGCCCCATTATGTCATAGAGAAGCTAAAGTTAATACAGTTAAAATGCGTCGATGGTCTTGAAATAAAGACATGAGAGCTTCAAGTATTGAAGCTTAAAGAAAGTTCCTTGAGGAACAATAAGATTGAACCAAACGTGAATATGTTTACTTCTCAAGAATGACAAAAGTCATGAAATCGGGTAACTTAGATAGAGTAGTGAATTGGAATCAGATCAACTACTCCCCTCTAGTTGATCCCATTCCTAATTTTGAGGGTATTTAGTTACAGATTTTAAATATAAATTCGACATAATTTTTTATTCCTTTATATGTTAGTAATCAAGGAAGAAGTGAAGAATTAATTAGAATCATTTCAATACGCATGTATTAGTAAACACAATAAAAGTAGACTTGGAACACCTGCTTGAACTCGGTTCGTTAGCTACCAAAAGAATGGTTGACTTAAAAATGTCAAAGAGAGAATTTGTGCTGCAACCTTCAATTTACAGGGATATGCCTTGAACCCCATGTGTGTATCAATGTCTTGTTCTTGTTTCATATCCATGATGAATCCATCCAGCTATGAACCTATTAATCTTAACTCATTATACCATTTTCAATCACGACTTGGGCTAATTTCAAAGGCTTATTTATTGTTATTTTTAACAAAGCTTTAAATTTTCCCATATGTTTTGTTAAATAAAAATTCCGCATCCAAAATAAAATTTCAGACTAGAAAAGAGGTTTCATTTGTACTTGGTTTTTCTTGAATAGTTTTGATTTTGCAACAGAGCTCACAGAGATAGCAAACATTTGCAATCAAGTCCTTCATATACCAAGGCTGTCAATAAAGTTGGTCAAAATGCTGATTTGGCCAGGTGACTTTGACAAACATAACAAGAGCGCATATGCCAACTATACAAGGGAATCACTATCAACATAAAATTACAGGAAAGTGACCTTTTATTATAAGAGAAGAATTGTTATTATTTATTGTGGAACACGACTTAATATTAAATTTTGACTCGTAAAAAAATGAATAAATGTTTCAAAAAAATTTGGTGGTTATTTTATGGTTGCTTTTTTTTATTGGCATTTAAATTTCTACACGTGCACGTACATATATAAGGTGTCAATTAACCAAAATAGTATACTCACCATTTTGCACCTAAGTTCGATTTAGAGTATAGCTTTGTCCAAAATGCCACATACGCAATTTACACACAACCCCACTACTATTGTAGAAAATTTGCAAATGTTCCCGGACCCGCTTTTTCTGCTGACAACATATTTTCCGTATGAAAAGAGCAAGAAAGACACAAAAATAAAATAAAAAACACAAAAAGGCAAAAGGAAACCCCACAGGGAGCACCTATAAAACCATCCAAAACTCAAACCCCAACCCCTCAAAACCTTTCCATTCTTGGTCTCTGTTCTTCAACACACACTCTCTCTCTCCTTCTCATTTTCTCTCTCTTCGAGTCTTGATCTGCAACTCTCACTGAAAAAGGTGCGTCTATACGAACGAACACTCACGTATTGTATGTCTATGTGATATACGCATGCGCGTGAGGTATTGGAGTGCCTGGTTGTATAGGTTTGGTGGTTCTGTGTATGCATGTCTCCGTTTGTGTGTCTCTTCTGTGTGAGATTCGTTTGGCGTGTATGGAACTGAGAATTTGAGGAATTGAATTGGATGAGTGAAATTTGGGGGAGAATTTGAATTTGGAACCCTAATTTTGATTGTGTTGGTGGTTATTATTTTATTGGAGGAACGCGAACCATGACGTTGTTGGACAGAGAGCTCGTTTTTCTCATACTCCAGTACTTAAATGAAGCGAATGAAGGGAAATACAAGGACACTGTTCACAGGTGAGTGAGTTTGTTCTTTTGCTTCTTTATATTCGTTGGTTCGTACGTAGTCTTGTTTATTTTGTTAATTGGCCCTCGTCTTCGGGTTTGCTTGGTTGCCAAGAAAATTGAGAAAATGGAAGGGAGGTCAGGAAGATCGTTTTTGCACCTTTTTTTTCTTCAGTTATGGAAACATAGTGCAAATGGAACTTATATTGTTTGGTTTATACTGAGTGAGGTTCTCGTGTCTGTGTCTGAATGAAGGTTGGAAAAAGATTCAGGGTATTTCTTCAATATGAGGTATTTTGAGGATTGCGTGAACAATGGTGAATGGGATGAGGCGGACAGTTACCTGAGTGGATTTTGTAAGGTTGATGAAAGTAGATACTCAACGAAGATTTTCTTTGAGATTCGGAAACAAAAGTACTTTGAGGCCCTTGACAGGTAAGCTCTTTGTTTGATTCGGAAACAAAAATACTTTGTCGTGGCTTTGTTATAACTTTGTCTTTAATGCAGGCATGACTATGCTAGAGCTGTCGAGATTCTTCAGAAGGATTTGAAAGTTTTCTCGACAATCAACGAAGAGAGGTTTAAGGAAATGACCCTGCTTCTGTCGTTGGGGAATTTTAGGTGTGTTGGGTATTTCTTTTGTGATTAATTTGGTGTGGAGTCATGTTAAACAAGTCATGACTCATGACCATGCATAAGACATGCTATTGTTAAAAAATCATGACCATGCAAGTGTTGTGGCGTCAAATTTATGCTCTTATATGATTGATTTGGTTTGTGGCATCAAAGTCTTTATTTATGCTGTTATAGATAAAGCTTTGAGTATGTCCTATTTGTGCCTTGATTGTGTCATTCATAACATCTGCCCATGTTTGTGTAACTCCCTGTTTTTTTTTTTTTTTGACCAAGTAGAAAATATGGAAAATTCTTAAGAGTTAGATATGTTGAAGGCAGAAAGAATGGAATTATTGGGTCATTGAAACTGATAGTTACAGACAAGTGAGAATCATGTACCAAATCATGTGATACAATTTCAGGCTGTTAGTTCCAGTTTCTGAGAAATAATTATGCCAAATTTGGGTTACCGAAATGAAATAGTTGGCAGTAGGGGTTTCATGACTTTAGTTGTGAATGCAAGTAACTCAAATCTTAAATTGTCTGTTTTATTTAAATACGCTATAAGTGGCTAATTCTCAAATGCTAGACTCCATAGAGCAGAATTATAGAAATACCACCTGAGCTCTAGGAAGAGAAGAAACTAAAATGAATTGAGGACATCAATACACTTCTTTAGGTCCGGATGTCAGACACCCAACTCAGTTGTCTTGGTGTCCATTTGTTGCATGTTGTGACTGCTTATATTTGTGCATTTCCTTTGGATTCAAACCCGAAATGACCAATTCTACATTTCTATTGTAGCTTGTTACCTAAAGATAGATAATGATTGAACTGAGACATAATGGTTTATATGTTAAAATCTTTGAAAGTGAAAACAATTCTTCCAATAGACAAAGAGTTGTTGACCTAAAATGATGAATTTATTAGAGTGTAAGTCATTTTTTCTTCCTTCATTGTTATATAACACTGCCTTCATCTTGCTTGGATGTTGAAGGCAACCAGTGTGCACTTTGAAGTGTGCTTGCTCCAAAAGTTCTGTTTTGTGCTTGTTTGCTTAGTTCTTTGTCCACTATGTTTATTTTATATATTTTTTTGTTGTTGAAGTTTCTCAGTAACCTGCATTTTCTTTTCTTTTCATTTTAAAAAAACCAGGGAGAATGAGGAACTATCAGATTATGGTGATATTAAGTCTGCCAGGGCTGTTATACTTACTGAAGTAAAAAAGATAATTGAGGCAAGTCCACTTTTCCGTGATAAGCTGCAATTCCCCAAGTTAAAGAACTCAAGGCTGAGTACACTTATCAATCAGGGGTAATTCGAACACAAGTTCTCTACATAATCTTTGCTCTTTCTTTTTTCAATTAAAAATTATGGGGATGTGAAATTTTTTTGTCATCTGAAGTCATTGTCTGTAATGTTTGTTGCAGTTTAAATTGGCAGCATCACCTTTGCAATAATCCTAGGCCAAACGCTGACTTTAAAACTCTATTTTCGGACCACAGTTGTGGACATATTGCTTGTGCTCCTTCCCCTGCAATTAACCCTATAATGGGATCCATTGCTAAAGTACGTGGTTCGAGAAAAAAAAAAGTAGGTGGCTTCCCACCAATACGTGCTCATGGTGTAAGTCTCTATACAAAATTTACATTTGGTGTATAAGGAAGTAGTTTTCTGAGGAACTCCTATTTGTATGTTTATTTAATATATGTGATTTTCAGCCATGCCAGCCTGCACCAGCACCTCTTACAACATCTCTCTCTGGATGGACAGCTAACCCGTCCTCTGTTCCGCACCAAACAGTTTCTGCCAGACCAAGAGGTCTAACAGTATCCAATAATGCATGTATGATTGCTTTTGATTTTGTTTAGTCAATTTTTTTATAACATTTTCTCTATGTTTGTGGCTTTATTGCTGATTGTGCTATATTACGAGGAAATCTTACAAATTTATGGATATAACTTATAGGGTAAATAACCAGTTTTGCTAGTCATAAATAAGATGAATTTTTTGTTTTTTCGGGTCATTACGGGGTGCAATTTTAAATGAATAAAATGTATATAAATTACAGTATATCTCTAGATAAGCAATAATAATTTTGACTTTGAACGTGATTAAATATTTTGTTGCAGACGTTGTGAAGGAATAATTGGTATAAGTTGCAGTTCTTTTGATATTTACATTGTATTTCTGTTAGAATAAGTCATAATGCAATAAGGCACGACTTTGCAAATGTCAAACATATACAATGTTGTCTTAAATTAGTAAATTGAAACCAATAATGATTTGGCAATACAAGATGGAGTTGCCTTAATATCATGATCCCTATAAATTCAAGCTTTGCTTAATGATAGAAATATGAAGAACCCATTATTGTTGACTCTATGGGCTTTTGAATTTAATGTTGCGATGATGTCTTTTAAATGCTTAACATGCCAGTTTGTAAAATCCATAAAAATGAAGGGGAAAACAGGAAAAACTCAAAACTCTTTATGGAATTGAAATTGGTTGTGGTGTTTCGAGGCCCCAACCATATCACGAGGATGGCTGAATATGTTATGAAGTAAGAGGTTGATGTGGAGAGGTTTTACCAACAAGCAATCGTTTAAATGCGATTCATGGGTGTTCTGATATTGACAGGGTTAAGAGTGAAACTGATCGGTGGCCCATGTCTGGCTTAGGTTTGTTACATTCGGTGACCTTGAATTGTACTTAGGATTAGTTGAGAATTTTGGTATTGAAATAGTTTGTAGAGTCTACAATTGCCCCTTGTATTGTTTTTTTTCCGTCAGTTGAATTTCTTCTTGGTTGTTGAATTATTTAAGGGGATTGTATAACACTTCAGTGATGTGCCTTTGCCTGTGTTTCATTTATATGTTAGACTTGTTAGTGAATAGGGTCTTCCCTGATCACAATCATCAGATACTTGCCAATCACTCTTCTTTTGCTTGAACGATTTTGTTCCCACAATCACATTATATGGTTCCCCTGGAATGATTTTTTTAAAATTATTTTCATTCAAATTTCACTTTTCCAACTAAGTTATATTTTCCTTTTTGCATTTATTTGGTGTGATAGCATCTTTGCTAAAGCACCCTAGAACTCCTCCCACTAATAACCCAAGAATGGACTATCAAATTGCAGATTCTAAACACGTGTCCAAGAAGAGATCAAGACCTTTGGGGACGCCAGATAAGGTATCTTTATCAAAATGTTTATGTACTGCTGTTTTCTAAATTTATAACTCACTCTTTTTCAATCAGTATTTAACTGATTATGTTTCCTTTTGGCAATACCTTTTGTAGTTTACTTTTTTTTTTTTTTAGTGAGAATATCAATATTTCACTTTTGTTTTTTACTTTTCTCACTATTTCTCGTTGAAATAAGATTTTGAAACTAGCTTAGTTGTAAGTGTGCCTTTTCAATGTGCAATATGGTGGGTGAAATTGTTGCTATGTCCTTGGTGCCTTAACTGTTTGAATTTATCTTTCTCACACCGTGACTTCCCTTTTGCATTTTCAGGCCAATAATATGTCTGTTAATGTCTTTCCACACACATATCCTGGCCAGAGCCATGCCGATACCCTTCACTCTTCTGAGGACTTGCCGAAGACTGTTATTTTCAGTTTGAGTCAAGGTTCAGCTGTCAAGAGCATGGACTTTCATCCAGTGCAACAGACTCTGCTTCTCGGTTTGCTCATGCTGCTTAATGAGTCTTTAGTCTTATGTTTTCAGTCAATGTCTAATTGTATGGTTTCTGGATTGAAGTTTTATTCATTTGTTTTTCTTCCAAATTCAGTTGGAACAAATATTGGCGATATAACAATTTGGGAGGTAGGCAGCAGAGAGAGGCTTGTTTCTCGGAATTTCGAGATTTGGGACCTTGATGCATGTTCAATGGCTCTGCAGGTTTAATTCCCTTGGTTTTGTTCTTTTCCCACCCTCTATCTTTTCCCACCAATAAGACTAATAGTTTTCATGTCTTCTGATAGGCATCTGTGGCTTTTGAATACACTGCATCAGTCAATCGTGTTATCTGGAGTCCTGATGGTTCCCATATTGGTATATAAGGGGATTTACTTCCTATTATTCATTTTATTTTCCAAACTGATAGAATACTTGTATATATTTTCTAGACACGAGAAAAAATACATTACAATTTCTGGTCATGGGTAAAATTTTCTTAATGAAGTGGGGGAAAATGGTTGAAGTTCACAGGTCATGTTTTTATGATTAGTTTTTGTTATTAGGCCAACTTCTGTTTCAGGTATTGGATATTCCAAGAGTGTAGTGCACATATATTCCTATCATGGTGCTGATGATTTACGGAACCAACTAGAGGTTGTTTTTCTCTTTTTATTTTTTTGATTTCATTTAAGTGGCTTATGAATTTTAAAATTGTGATCGCTAGTAGGTTTCTTGGCCTTCTGCAGCTATCAGTTAATTAATTAAATTTTGTTTTTAAGACTGTAATTACTTATGCACTGATTGGATTTTTTATATATATTATACTTTCAAATGAAATTCTTCCAGATTGATGCTCATGTTGGTGAAGTTAATGATCTTGCCTTTACTCACCTAAACAAACAATTATGCATCATAAGTTGTGGAGAGGACAGGACCATCAAGGTTTGGTTTGTATGGCATTTTCCTTCAATGCTATTGGCAAGGCTATGGCCTGCAATCATCAAGGTTCATCTCTATACAGGTCTGGGATGCTGTCACTGGCAATAAGCTGTATAGTTTTGAAGGTCATGAAGCACCAGTTTATTCTGTGTGCGCACAGATGAAGGAAAACACTCAGGTGCTTAGTTTGGTTATTACCATTGGTTTTACTCTTGATAGTTATTGCTTTTCTTGAAGTATTTGATTTGAGATTTGTTTTATGGTTAGAGGCATCAAAAGCTTACTTCTAAGTTCTAATGGCAAGTCTTGTTTTGGTCAAGGGTATTCCTGTTAACCCTAGTTATTGCTGAGGTGAACTTGTGTGTATAGTGAAATTTGTAAAGGAAAGGAAATCATTTTTGTGGTTTCCACAAACCCCCTCTCTGTTTTTTTTCCCTTGTATAAAATGTCTTTTAATGCACATTGGCATATCAAGAAAGAGATACATACAGCTCCCTGATATTTATTTACAGTCCTTACCTAATTTACCCTTAAGATGTGCTTGTGGAAAAGCTTTTTATAAAGTCTCCATGATCCTTGCAAGTACAGCAAATCATCTAAGTAATCAGTTTTCTTTGTTCCTTTGGCTACCATGGAATCTCAGTCCATTTCACCAGCTGGAAAATTGTACATTCATTATTGTACCAATTTAGCGTTTCTTCCATGCTGTTTTGAACTGTTTGGAAACAGTTCTTTAAACCTAACTGTTGTTTTTGATCCTTAGACATCTTTCTCTCATTTGGTTCTTGTTTTTGTTTTTTGTTGTAATACTCAGTGGATGTTTTCTTTCTGCATCAGTTCATCTTCTCTACAGCCGTTGATGGGAAAATCAAGGCATGGCTCTATGATAACTTAGGTTCAAGAGTTGATTATCATGCTCCAGGCCATTCGTTCACAAGAATTGTCTATAATACCGATGGAACGAGGTACTGTATTGTTTTGTTATTCCATCAAGTGTTCTAATTTTCGTATCATATAACTTCTTCAATGTGAGTTCTTGATTGCTCAAGTATTCCTATTATTGTGAAAATCATAGGTTATTCTCATGTGGGACTAATAAAGAAGGAGAATCATACATTGTGGAATGGGATGAAACCCAGGGGGCTGTAAAGCGAACATATAATGGGCTTGGGAAGCGAACTCTGGGGGTCGTGCAGTTTGATACAACCAAGAACCGATTCTTGGCTGCTGGTGATGAGTTCCAAATTAAATTTTGGGACATGGACAATGTGAACCTGTTGAATGCTACTAATGCGGAGGGTGGATTACCGGTAATGGCCACAGAGGGCTATCTTCATGATGTTCACTGTCATATTTCAAGGTTATTGTTAACTTTAAAACTACATTTACCTTTGATATCTGTTAGGCTTCTCCTTGTTTGCGATTTAACAAGGAAGGAATTATGCTGGCTGTTTCAACAAATGAGAATGGTATTAAAGTACTTGCAAATGCCGATGGTGTTCGTCTTTTGCGGTCAATTGAGAATCGTGCAGTTGATGCCTCTGGGATGGCTTCTGGAAATGCTGTGAAGGTATTTTGTTCTATCAGATATATGAAATGACCAAAAATGTAGATTTATAAAGTGACCCAAAATGTTGACACTCTTGTTAAATGAATTACTTATGCTGCAGGGACCCATAATTGGCACATTTGGTGCTTCCAGTTCTGTTCATGGAACAAACAATGGGGTTGCAAATAGAAGTCAAATGTCTACAGTAGTTGGTCTGGTAAGTTTTGATTGTTCTTTCATAAGTGTTACTAGAATATAATTTGTCAAGATGGAAGAAAACACTTTGTGTATCCTTTAGGAAAACCTGCATAATCTATTTTCTAAGTTGGTCACGCACTACTGGACATTCTTTATTAACTTTGATGTTGTGTGAATGCTTTAAATTCTTATTTGAGCTACGCTTCCTTTTGGGAGGTTCACAAATGCTGACTTAAAATTTTTAGAATGGAGATGCTCGAAGTTTGGACAAGAATTCAAGGGTTGCTGAGGAGTTAGAGAAACCTAAAACTTGGAAGCTAACTGAAGTTAATGAACCATCTCTTCTTCGTTCCATACGGCTTCCCGATGCTTTGAACCTGGTGAATTTTGGACCCATATATATACATTTATATCCCTGTAAATTCTATTTAGGTTGTGATACATATAAATCATCTCTGTATATGAAGTGGGTTGATAAGTTTTTGTCATAAGAAATGCTTCAGTCCCTTAGCAGGTTTTAACCTCAGCCTAGGCACTGAGGGTTCTTTGAGTTTTGAGAGAATGATGTAGGGAATGTAATACATGTAATTTTTCAGGCTAAGTTCAAGCTTAGAAATATTTAAGGGGATAGAGTTTTGCAATACATGTTTCTTGGACTATTTTGTACACTGACGTAGTACTTGTTTTATAATTTTTATTATATTTGAATCCATCTTTAAATCTTTTTGTTCTCCAATTCAGATTGTTAGGTTGATATATGCAAACTCAGGAGGGTCTATATTGGCATTGACACATACTGGGGTACACCGACTTTGGAAATGGCAGAAGAATGAGCAGAATGTTTTGGGAAAAGTATGGTTTGTTCTTAAGGCAAATCTTCCTTAAGTTATTTTGTCCTTTTAAATTTTCTCAATCTTTTCCTGTATAAATGCTTTTGGTACTGTAGGCAACTACCATTGTGCCGCCTCTGTTATGGCAACCTCACAGTGGTATATTGATGATGACCAATGATATAATCGATAGAAATCTTGAAGATTCGGTTCCTTCTTGCCTTGCTCTTTCCAATAATGATTCTTATGCTGTGTCAGCATCAGGAGGGAAAATTTCTCTTTTTAATATGGTGACATTCAAGGTAATGTTGTATTAGGATTGTACCTTGGGCGCAATTGGTTGGATACATAATCCTTTGGCTGATGATTTTTCATCATTTTTTCCTTCTACCAAAATTGCAGACATTGGCAACCTTTATGCCTCCACCACCTGCAGCAACATTTGTTGCTTTCCATCCTGTGGACAATAACATTATTGCCGTGGGCATGGAGGATTCTACAATTCACTTGTTCCATGTCCCGATTGACACTGTAGGTAGCACAAACTGAGACTTTTTTTTAGTTAGTAGATTTTCAAATTATAGATAGTGATTTTGTTTCTCTTTTTTACTCAGGTCAAGTACAAGATCAAAGGTCATCAGAAGAGAGTAACTGGCCTGGCCTTCTCCACTGTTCTGAATGTTCTTGTATCATCAGGAGCTGATTCTCAGGTATGCTTCATAAAAGTAGGATATAATCTATGTGCCATGCTGCTGTGTGTGTGTGCGTGTGGGTAGTGATGCACTGGAATTTTGAAAGTTATAGATACCAAGTGCTCATTTTTTTATAGAGATTTATGCATAAGTTTCAGTGTAGAGCTCTTTAGACTTTGCATACCTGCCTTTTGTGTATGTAAGACAAATATGTAATGGATAGGACTGCTGGTAGTATCTTTACCACATGAAATGAGCAAGCGCAATAAACTAAATATGTTTTCAATATGCAATCTGTTGTTTTCTATAGAACTATAGAATATATTATGATCACCATACCAGATTTCCTGTTTGTCTAGATTGCTTTTATTGTTAAAAGATGACACTACATGACGTTGTAAATAGGGCGCAGAAAAACTATAATCGCTCATGAAGCAACTTTAATATATCAATGTTATTAAATTATGCCGTGTGGCTTTAGATTATACGACCTCACAATAGGCAATGAAATATGTAATTTTTCTTTTTTCATCTTTATGTTCAATATTGTTGTTGGTAAGCTGTGCTGCAAGTTCTACTTGAAAGGGGGCTATATTCCTCTTTTCTGTTGTACATAATTTCACCTATAGGTGGAGTCACATGATGTATGAATTGCTGATAAAGTTTTCTTTACTTCAGCTGTGTGTGTGGAGTCTGGACGGATGGGCAAAGCAGGCTGGTACGTTCTTGCAGATTCCCACTGGTCGCGTGCTTACACCTCTTGCTCAGACCCGAGTTCAATTTCACCAAGATCTGATACATCTGCTGGTAGTACATGAAACTCAAATAGCCATATATGAAGCATCAAAGTTGGAGTGCCTTAAGAAGGTCTCTGGGCCCTTCTTTTCTTTTTTAATTCTTAGTTGATAGTCTTTAATTTCAGTTATTAAATATTTCCAATGTTCAGGTACTTGTGAAACTTCATATTTTATAGTTAATGTAACTGTCTTGTAAACCTTTTGAACCATTTCATGAGTTTTTCAGGTTTTGTATTCTAATGTTTGAAGAATAGCTAGAGCTTGATTTCTAGTAGTTTATGAGGTGATTAATTTTTTAATTTTTTTTTTGTTGTTGGCTGTGACAGTGGGTGCCACGACAATCTCTTGGTCCTATCACAGATGCTACATATTCTTGTGATAGCGAGTCAATCTATGCGAGCTTTGAGGATGCAAGTGTATTTGTTCTAACTGCCTCCACGCTACGAATCAGATGTCGGATAAGCTCTGCCGCATATATACCGTCCAATCCCAGGTATGCCTTATGGTTACCGATGCTTTTAAACAAGAGCGCGCACACACACAAACACTATTTTCTTCACCATCTTATTACTAATTATTCTATTATTTGACAGCGCGAGGGTGTACCCTGCTGTAGTCGCGGCTCATCCATCTGAGCCTAATCAGTTTGCAGTTGGACTCACTGATGGGGGAGTTGTTGTTATGGAGCCGCCAGAATCAGAGGAGACGTGGGGTACTATGCCTCCAGTTGAGAATGCAGGGCCTAGTGCTGGCGCTGCAGCTGGTTTGGATCAACAGCTAAGGTGATAGTGATCTTGAGGCATTCAACTAATGACTGATTTTGATCCACAATTTAATTCAAGTGGATCTACAAGTTTTTAGGTCGCACAGAGTGTAGGGTTTAGGCTTTTGGTGAATAGGTCTTAGCTAGGGTTACATGGCCGCTGATCATATTTTGGGGAATTCCCTACATATACATAACAAAAAAGAGAAGGTAGATAGATGTTCATATCATCATACAAGAGGCATCAGGAGAAGAGCAGCTGTTGTTACTACACACTAATGAATTTGGCTATAATAGGGCTTTGTTACCAATTATACGGTGAAAAAGTTCTGGCCTTTTGTTTCTCTTTCATTTCAGTTTTTGCATTTCAATGTTTGTTTGTCTTCGCATTTAACCGATTAGCTAAGGGCCGTTTAAAAAGTTGATAACCATTTCATTTTTTATTTTATTTTATTGTGCTAGACTATAGAGGAAAAAGCGGAGAATGGATGTGGGAATGAGAGTGAAAATGAGATTGAGATGGAAGATGGGAGGGAGGAGTAACAAAAGTGAAAACAAAAACTGAAATCTATTTGAAATTGTTTTCACTTTCAAGTTTTTGTTTTTATTTTTGTTACTCTTCCCTCCCATCCTCCCCTCTCATATTCAATCTCAATCTCATTTCCACTCTCATTCCCACTTCCCTTCTCTCTCCTTTCCCTCTATACTATAGTACAAAAAAAGAAAACTAAAAACGAAAAATGAAAATTGAAATGATTATCAAACGGATCCTAAAGAAAAAAGTTTTCTTCAAGAAAATACTAATCTGAGAAAATAATATCTAACTACGTAATAAGTGGCTTTCATCCATGAATGGAATTTGTATGACAACTCAAGTCATATGCTAAATATGTGGCTCCTGAATGTAACCAAAAATTTCTTTTTCTTTCTTCACATAGCATTTTATGTTGTGTGACATTATTAATTTAAACCATTGATCAAGATATGATGATTTTCTCTATGACTTACAATTTACATATGAAGTGCTGCTATTTGTACGATTGTACTGTATTTACTAATAACTTTTCTAATACAGTGAGTCTCATATACATTAATGGGACTCACCTCTATTAAAGAGATGATCGGTAAATATGGACAAAATAACAATGTGTGGTCAATAAATATATGACAAATAGCATTATTGATTACATATGTATGTTCGAATTTCCAAATGACCAAACAAATTTTTATGGTTAACAATGTAAACTAGCTTTGCTTAAAAATTTATTGGACTTCAATTGGAGGAGATGTTTAGGGAGGCTAAGTACACTCCTTGAGCAGCAGTAGCTAGTTTCCAAGGAATTGCTGACAAAGAGGCCCTCTATTTGAATTGTTGTCTTTCACTTTCACTTGGTGTTCCTGATCATCACACGTTATGCCAACAAGCCCTATCCATTCTCATAACGTGGCTACACAAGCACAGTCATGCAACAGCGGTAGCTCCTGCTTTTGACACGTAGCATCAACTCCAAAGCACCCTCTTTCATATATAAATACCAATAAAACCACCTCCCTCTCTTCCACTTTCCTCAGTTTCCTCTCCGAGTTCAACACTAAAAAGAAAGATTAAATATGCAGCAAACAAGCACCGCCAAGCACTACTCTGAGGCTGATCAGAGTACTCAACGGCTAAGAGACAAGAAACTAGGGGACTTGATGGTGAACAAGCGCAGGCTCGTGGAGGTGCCGTACACGGCGTCCCTGGCCCACACCATGAACACCTTGGTGGCGAACAAGGTGCTGGCGGTGCCTGTGGCGGGCCCGCCCGGCCCGGGGGGTGGAGCCGGGGGCGCCACGGGT